GCTGGCGACCCCCAGGGGGAGGGCCTTCTCTGTGGGTGCCCCCGCCCTCTGGAACGATCTACCCCCCGAGATCCGGATGATTCCGGATCTCCTTACTTTCCACCGCGCCCTCAAGACATGGCTTTTCCAACAAGCAGGCCTGGCCTAGGGAGGATTTTAAATCGGGTTCATTTTTTAGAAAATTTTAAACAGCACAACTTTAAAATATTTGGTCTTAATTGGTTTTATTGGGTGGGGACTGTAAATATGTTTCTGTTTTAAATATGTTGTGAGCCGCCCTGAGTCCCTGTTGGGAGAAGGGCGGGATATAAATAAAAAAATAAAGTAAAGTTGGTCAGCCAGTTACAAATCGAACTGATGCTATCTATCCCACATTTTTCTAACTTACAAAAAGTTAGGTTGTGGTCTACTTTGTCAAATGCCTTACTGAAATCCAAGTATACTATGTCCACAGCATTTTGCTGGTCCACTTATTTAGTCACTTTGCCAAATGTGTTGAAATCAAGCTTGAACCATAGGCCAATACAGTAAATGGACATCTCAAAGGATGCCACTGCCTCTTATCTTTCCACACCTCAGCTCCCATAGAAAACAGTGATGTAATGTCTTTTCTGCAATAGACCAAAAATTGAATTTATTTATATACTGCCCTCTTTTAATAATGCATAAAAATAATTAATTAGTGAACTAAGTTCACAAATGCACACTGTTCATTCAGTCCTGAAGTGAAGCAGTGATACATTATGGATTTGGAACTCAGTTAGCAAATTATACCATATAATACTATGCCACACAAATTGAGTAGCCTATGGTTCACAGTTGCCATTTTTAATTGTAAGGATTATAGCATTACTTTGCTCAGATTTGGGATTTAATTTGCTGCAAGCTTAACTGAATCCTCAAGATATGCATAGTATTACACTTCTCAAGCTCAATGCAGGATAAGCAGCTACCAACTCTAAACCTGAACGTGCAAGTTTAGGGAAACATTGCAACATGTGTCCTTAAACAACTCAAATTGCTTGTGCAAGTTACAACTTGTTGCTGACAAAAGAGAGCCGAGGATGATCAACTATAATATCTGAAAGCATCCCAAAGTTACCAAGACAGGTTACATAAATTCATGCCTAGCCTATTTCTATTCAACCATTACAGGCCAGTAAGCCACAAACAGAGTTTACCACAGTGGTTTTCAATCCTTTTCACATCCTTGGCACACTGACAAGGTGCTAACTTACACGGTCAACCATCTTATAGGCAGGACTTTGGGTTACAAAAGGTCCTGTGACATTACAAGTTACTGCAATTCATGAGGGGAAATGGAGACATCACAGAAGTGGGGCTCTGGCAAAGCAAATATGCAGCATTTTCCATCCTTTACTTGTGGCTCGTCGATGCAGTACATCTGCTTTATTATCTGCAAGGCCAATAAGAAAAAAGATGCCCTGACAAAGCCCTGATCTTTTTCTTTTTAAATAAATGATTTTAAAAATATGCCTAACACAAGTATGGCAAAGATCAATTACATATTACTAGAATAATGGCAAAACAGTTTATCACTAATTTGTTTAGGATAATGCAAAAACAACAATGGAAATTTGTGAATGTCCTCTATCTATAAGATGGGTGTCAAAACTGCATTAGCTCCCAACAGTCTTTCTAGTTGCAACTACTGTAACCGTGGTACCACCCTGCCCTGACAATATTCTTTTCTCTGAAGTGCCCCTACAACATTGCCGTCATCTCATCCCCAGACCAGAGTAAGATAGGCTTAAATCGTCCTTAGCTGCCCTGAGGTTAATAGAATACTTTATCTTATATTAGCAGGACTAATGACAACGACAAGGCATGTAAACATTTGTTACCCTTTGCATCCCATGACTCTGTAGTGGCCAGCCCAAATACCAGTCCAAATGAGATTTATTGGCTGTTTCATGCTGATGTGGCCGTGTATCTTTCGCTTTCATCCCGACCAACTTTGTCTGTCCTCCTTATGCAGATAGACACAGCAGAGTCATATTAGCAGCCTTCTAGATTGTCCAGCCAAGTCTTCTGTAAGAGTTATAGGGTTCTTTAGCACAAGGCTCATAAAGTTAAACAGTGTGATATAAAATAGTATAATGGTCTGAAATAGCCTAACAGGCTGAAATTATGAGGTTAATCCTATGCTCCGCAGTGGAATCTGGAACACAGCATTTATTGCCTATGGGAAGAAAGGAAAGGGGCGAAATATCCTGAATTAAACTTGCTACTTGTGACTCAGCTCACTTTGTAACTCTGATATGCTTTTCTGTATGCATTCTAATTTTATTCCTTCTGGGTTATGACACAATGGGATATAGGGGAAGGGGCAGAGGAAGTAGCCTAGGAAGGACAGATAGTGCCCTAGAGTCAGACCTGTCTGATTTCCGCTGTAGTGCTGTGACTGGTAAAAGATCCCAGCACTTTCTCACCAGCTAGTGACACACTGAAAAGGGACAGCAACAAAACTGGAGCTCTCAACCAATCCCTCTGCTTAAATATGTACCGTACACTCACAATGAAGACAGCAACATTTGGCAATGACACAAAAACAAACGCAATAGAGGAAATGGGGAAATGCTTATAGTGACTATGTATATTTTACAAAGCTAGTTATTTTTCATGCTACCGTGCCCTGAAAAACGTTGCAAGGCATTTCACAAAGGGGAAATCTGGGATGGTGAGGTTTACATCTTGCCATCTTTCCTTTTTATCAACAAATATCTCATCTCTCTGGCAGTTAAACTCAGCCTGTCCTCTGACATAAACAGGAAATGAGAACCCCGCAGAGGATACACCTGCTGAGCTTTCAGAAAACAGCAGCGATAACCTTTAGCCATGTCTTGAGTTTAGAAACCAGAATCACCCCAAGATGGTTATTCTCTAAGCATATGACCCGTCAACATATTCATCTCAGTGGGTAAACGCTGAAATTTTATTACTTTATAAATGTCAACAGACTAAGGATACTACTCTGAGCATACGAAGCTGTATCTATTTTGACCTCTCCACCCTGAATCTCTTTGTAAATAGAACTATTTGAAAACAGAGCTCTCCTGGGGATTGCCTGCTAGAAGAGCAATGGCAGGGGATCAGAGCATGTAACGAAGGTAAACTGGTTAAGGAAACATTAAAACAAGGGACATGCCAAGCTTCTTCCACAAACACTATTCAATGCTGGACTTACCTTTGCTAAGAAGAAAATCACGTATGAGGTGTAAGATCTATGATACTTTATCAACGGAAGGAGGAGGAAGAAGCAGCTGCAGAGAAGGGCAGATATTGAAACACCCAAGATAATAATAGTCCATAGTTAACCATTCCTCTATATTCCAAATATAATTTCTCTCAAATGCTTTTAGTTTATGCTACTGTATAAAATTCAGTTTCAGCTACTTCCTTTCTTTCTTTGTTTAATTTGGAAAAAGTTAATTGCAGATGTCCTGCAGTATGTCTAATATAGAGGAGGAAGAAGAGGAAGGCTTGAACAATAAACATTAAAAACAAGGCATAACTAATTAATCTTTAGAGAGAAATTATATTAACATGCCTCTGGACTTCCATAAGAATTGCAGGAAACTGCTGGTTTACCTATTAGGTTTCATTTGGTCTACACACATATTGGGATAAAACATGCACATTATGACATTATATATTATGTACATAATATAAAAGAGACAATATCAGCAGAAATTCTGATCTTTGTACTGATGTTACGGTAGGATAGGAATAAACAGAAGGCTTTCATAGAAAGGTATTTAAAATTGATTACACTAATGAGCTATAACTTGTTAGTAAAGGATGTTGGCAAACTACTTACCTCATCATACAAGCCCTGCAAAGCTACTCTCTTAATGTAGCAGAAAATTAATACTGGAAGGAAAAATAAAAAATAAAAATTTGTGCACTGAATCCAGTTCTAAACAAATTATATCTTTTTATCTATTTCTTAACTTCCACAAAATGACTCCACTCTATTAGCCTCCATATGTGTTGACTATAACTTCTATCATTTCTAACCTGTGGGCCCTAGATTGGTATAAATTGGCCCTAGTTTCCTATTACATTTGAATGGTTTCCCTACAGACTAACAACTGATTAAGTGTCATCAATATGTCATACAGCCTTCTTCCCCAAAGGACTTTTCTTACAGATCTTCAGAAAACCCTAACCCTAACCCAAAAAAATCAACTCTGATTACACGTATTGCCTTATGGATGTACAAAAGAATAGACCAAAGCAAATGCTGAATTATCTATAGATAAGTGTTGCAGTTTAAGCTGCAACTAACCTAATATCTAATTAATCACATAACCAAACAGCTACAGAAAAAGAATACTGAAACATAACAAAAAATAAAAGAGAAAGATAACAGACATTACAAAGAAAACATGATGTAAAGGAATGAAGATCCAAGGAAAAGCACTGTTTTTCAAGCAGTAAATTACCCTTGACCACATATTGGTCAACCTTTCCCCATAGATCAAGGTAGAGGCTAAGCACAGCTTGTCAAACCATGGTTTTAAACTAACTATGGCTGAGTTTTCCTATCAAAGTAAAACTATTCTTTTAGCGATTGTGCAATCATAGAAAATTCAGATTTTTCATATATTTCAAATCTTTGGTGGTTCAGCATCACATTTTCATCTTTAAACCTTTAACCTTCC